TATATATATATATATATATATATATATATTTGACATATAACTACATTATTTTAATATTAATTTTGAATGAGATTTAACAACATATTTCCTGTGTTATTATAATTTATACTCACACTTTTTAAGAATATATCAACATATATTATATCTATTATGTAAGTAAAAATAATTTTTAATGATATTGTGTCACTATATGACAATTTTCTTGTAGCTTGTGTTTAGATCGGACATAATTACTTTAAATAAGTAAAATATATGTAGTCTGTCTTTTAAAAAAAAATCTTTTAACATCAATTTACTAAATTTTGAAACTAAGAAAAGTATATCATCAAGCTTTTGAAAAAACTGAATTATTTTTAAATAATTATTTCTCTTAAAAGGAAAAACTGAATCAATGAGACATAATAATACTAGTTGTTGACACGGTGGGGAAAAGAACAAAACGTCTTGTCGTAAAAATATCCTCTAGCCTATAAGATAAGACTCTTTATCGTGGCGCTCTTCCCACTTTCCTATGCACGTAAAAAACAGTAATAAATTAATTAAAGTTAAAGAATTAGTTGGAAATTGATTTTTTTTTAAGATTTTAGTACAAGTCAAAACTCAAAAGTTAATAAAATAAATTATTAAATTAAACATGCTTGTTAAGATCAATTAATAAATAACTCAAATAGAATATGTTTATATAATTTATTTAGCACGAAATAAATTTAATATATTATTTTGTGGGAAAAATATTTAAAATTATAATTTTCAAGTATTGTTTATTTTATTTAAAATGAAATATTTATGAAAAACTGAGAAATAGTGTAATAGTAAACGGATTAATAATGTATTGTATTAAAGTATTAAAAATAATGAATTATGAGTTTAACGACTATTTCATGCAACATTTAAAATAAGTTCATTTATTAATTATATTATTTTAGTTAACCAACTGTTAGTCAAATAAATTATAAACCATTTAAAGACTTATCCAATATTTCCTCTTGACAAAATAAAATTTTAAAACTTTGAGGAAAATGTAGGTGAACAACTAAACTTCAGATGAGAAGGGGATAAAAAGAAATGTAAATATGATATAATAGAAAAAGAAAGATAAAAGGAAATGACATATATTAATAGAATATTAAAAGTGAAATGATATTTACATATCATTACTCATAATCAAAACATATATCTAAAGTAATCTTACATATGCTAGGGTAAATGAATAATAGAAAATAAAAAGATATGCTATGGTATAAATAGATAGTTGAGCATTATGTTACTTTCCGCAAGAAGAAAGTGAAGTGATAAAGAAAAACTCAAAACTAGTTAGAAGTGGAATACCATAAAAAGAGCCTTATCAAAATAAGTTTCTGGTTGAGGTGCCGGCAGGGAAGGCAAAAGCACATTCTTCTCTCATACATTCCTTAATAGTAACGTCTATATAGGAAAGAAATATTCAATCGTGCAAGTGTCACGGCCACAAATCCAGAAATGCACCAAAATCCATTACATCATCATCCCTCAAAAAGGGTAAACCGGAGATTGAGGGGGCATGTGAGACTCCTCAAAATGGAGCCGTAGATGCTCGATATAGGGTACCCTTCTTCTTTTGCTCACTCGCTGCAACTTCACTTAACTGCAATCACCAATCACATAGGGACAATCCCCTAAACCAGTCACACCTTCTACTACTACAATTTCAAACCGTATATACCTATAAATATGCAATGCAATGCAGCAACTACTACTAAGAAATACAAATTTCTCTAACCATATATAGCCACACCTGTTGATGCTGCCTTCTGAGCCTCGCATTCTCTTCCTTTAATTGCGCAATCTCAAGCTCCAGCTCATTCGTGTAAGCCTGAAGGAACCAAAAAAGAGAGACATGTTAAGTAAACTTATTTTTTAAAACGATAAAGTCATGAACATGAGTATTGAGTAATATAAGCCAGTTATATACATGTTGTCAACAATGATGAATAATATTTTTGTGTGTGTTGGGAGTGCAATTGAGAAGACGTAGGAAGGAAAGTAAGATGAAAGGAAAAGGAAGCGAGAAATTCCTGTTTTCTAGCACGCGATCGTGCAGCGGACTCACGATTCTTGATCATGCGGTTGTTCCTTCGGTCGGCGAGGGTGCATTGGGGTGGGTGGAAGTGGGGGCGAGAGCTGAGGCTGAGAGCGGTGACGAGAGGAGGAGTTTGTAATTGGGAGGGAGCAGAGGAGAGTATGGTGTTAGTGTTGGGTGGGTCTATGAGGGGTCTGGCGAGAAAGTCTTGGAACATGAGGGTGGGGTGGGTGGTGGTGGGCCGAGACCCTTGCTCGTTTAAGGTGGCCAGGTTTATGTCTTTCCACACCTCTTCCATGGTAGTTACTATTTGGGGGTGAACTGTGAAGGAGGGAGAAAGAGAGTGAGTGTGTGAGTCAGTAGTTTCACACTTCACACTTCACACTTCACATTTGATGCTAGCTTGCACCTCACTCCTCTGTGTACCTTGTGTACGTGACTAGTCATGTCTGACTCTCCACATGTGACACGCGCCTGCCACAAACCCTAACCCCCACTTCAATTCTATACACCAAACTCTATTTTCCCTCATTTCATGAAACGACACGTTTACTACTTCTTAAATACTCTTTTTTCTTTACAACCACCCACAAATCACTTGCTGTGTTTAGTGTATGTTTGTTTAGATAAAACAATTCAATTTAACTCGCTTCAATTTTAAAGTCTTAGTTTAATTATTTTTTTATTTTATGCATTGAAAAATAAAAACACTCATTTCAATGGATAATTAAATACACCCCTAATAGTTGATCATGGGAGTAACATATACTAAGTTTTAAGTTTGAATATTTAGTATTGTTGTTAAAATTTTAATGGATAGAAAAATTACTTCGTTCTTTTATGAAAAAATAAATATACTATGTTTGTTTATCTTGAATATAAATAAATTCTAATTATTTTTATTCTATTTAAAGATATTATTTTAAACTTTTTTATTTAATTAAAATTATATTTTTTTGTTTTTTTTACTCTTGATATTAAGTTTTAAAGAAAATAAATTTAGGAAAATAAATTATTTTTTAGTTAAAATTAGCAAAATAAATTATGTAAACTAACTTTTTTAATTAATATAAATCAATTTTTTTTACTTATATTTAGAATTAAAATAGTAGTAAAGGATAGTAAAGTGGGTTAACATGTCTAAAGCGGGGTTGGGTCAAGCGGGTTGACTCACCAAAAGAAAATGAGGAGGGAGTTGACCCAACAAAGAAAATGAGTTAGAAAATGTAATTCAACTCATAATATACTTTTATTTCATATAAAATAAGAACAATAACTTCAAAAAACAAGTTAAATTATATAATAAAAAAAAACATCGATCAAACATAAATCCACCAGATTTATCTGAAACAATAAAAATTAGATTGATAGATTAACCTGCTGAATTGATGGATTAAGCACGATAAATTGGACGAATTGGTAGGTTTACTTATCCAATACAACCCACCAAAAATAGGTGGATTGGTAGGTTGACCCACTGAATTCAATCTACATTATCGTCTCTAATTGTAGTAGTTAATTTTAATTAAATGATAAAATAGCTATGAATCAACATTTTGCTTTCAGTGCAAATATTAAAGTTAGATTAATTTGGCAATTAATTATATGTATAATTTGTACATTTTTATTATTTGTTATCTTTGATAATATTGTATGAGGTTATGCAGTCACGCATATAGTTTCTCAAAGACGTAGTGTGAATCTATGTAGAAAGATCTTAATGATATTCTACCCTGGTCTTAGAGCGTTATGGTAAAAAATACACTTAATTAACATTACCAATTAGATGATTGGAACTTATTATAATGAATATTGTTGGAGGCTTGTTCACATCAACTAAAAATAAAATCACAATATATATATATATATAAATAAGGAAAGAACAATCATTATCTTATAAATTATTTTTGTAAAGATGAGTTAAGTCCTTAATTCAAATTATTAAGAGTTTCAAAATTTGTTTGTTGCGGTAGAAAAAAATCTTTAGCTATTTAGCTTAATGAGTGTCCAAAGATAAAGGCGAGTCAAAAAAAAAATTGGATAAAGGTTATAAAGGTCATTCTACATTTTATTGGATAAAGGTGCTTAAAATATACCAGTTAATTCGCCACTCTATTGAAGATGTTGAACATGAATTAATCTTTGACACAATATGGTGCTGTGGAAGTTTGGTTATTTGGTGTGTGGTGGAAGTGTGGGGAATTAGTGTGGACTCCAAAAACAGAATATTGATATTTGAAGACATGTGCAAAAGTTTGTTTGTTTTAAACCTTTTACCATCTCTCCCATTTACACATAATTAAATAACATAATAATAATAATAATAATAATTATGATTATTATTATTATTATTATTATTATATATTATGTTTGTTTAAATTTAAAAATAAATATTTTTAAATAAATATCTTTAAATAAACAATTATTTAAAAAAATATATAGGAATTATTTCTTAAGAAAAACAGATGATTGCTCATTTTCATAAAAAGAAGTTCATATAAATAATCAAAAAGTAAATATAAGTGATTATTTTATTAAAAAATACTTTTATAAAAACAAATTAAACAAACAGATGCATAATCTATTGTTACTATTGTTGTTTTTTTACGCATTACCCATAATCGATTAAACCATGACCCATCTCCTCTAATAATTGATTAGCAAAACAAACCATCTCTTCAGTCTTCCCCCATAATTCATCAAAATAACCATCATCGTAATAATAATAATAATAAATAAACAAAGTTCATAAGTTGTAATAAAAAAAATTGAAAATAAGAATATATTTAATAAGGATAAAAAAATAATCTTTTAAATATTTTAATTTTTAAAAATCAAATAATCCCTTTAAAAAATTAACTTTAACTCTGTATCTAATTATCTTTTTATTTTGTTTAACCAACAATTTAAGTTTATCACTCTTACTATACTTGTTATGGATCTCACTCCTACTGTACTTGTTAGGAATGATTGTGTGCTTTGAAACTAAATCCAGAATGTGAATTATCATTTTCTTTCTATTTCTAACAGAAGCAATAAAGATTAACTTTTTTTTATCAATTCTTATTTTTGCATGCAAATCTTGAATGTATTCAAAATATATATATCCGACATGACTTTGCACAGTTACAAAGGGCATTTTGTGGAAGGCCACAATTATTAGACAATTTGTTTAAATTACAATGGATTTTTATTGGTCTTTTGATAATTTATTTGATGAACTAATAAAAACTAGTCTTATTTTCCTTATTCCCCTTCGTTGTCATTTCCTTTACTTCACTCAGTCCTTTTTCATCGTGCAAATAAACTAGACCATCGTCAATGCTAGCCCATATTCAACAATTTTTTTCATTTATGGAAAAATTATTCACTTTCACTTTAATTCAACTAATTAAATGTTGAATTACTGTGCTTATCTTGTTATTTTTCATAAAGAAGAAGAAACTCGATCATTCTACCGACAAAATAGTGTACTGTTATAGAACCGTGATATTTAGAAGAAAAAATTTGGTATTTATTTACTTAAAAAAATAACATGTAAGTTGTTTTTTTTTGTTTTTAATTTAGATTCATTACTATGATTTCATTATTTACTTAATTGTGTGAAGTTCATGAACTTTGAAAGGCATTTGATAACAGTTGCGAATTATCTAATTTTCCTAAAACATTGTTTGTTATTTAGGACTGGGTTTTATCATACATTATTGCTTCCCATAATTAAAGAAATAGCAATAGAGCTGATGAAATTTTTCATCGTATATCTTCTTTTCATTTGAATAATTGATAATTAACAAATTTCTCAGTAGCTTTTATTTGAAAAATTAATTAAGAATACTATGATAAATTATTAATTACCTAAATGAAGGGCTGATCTACCATAATAAATTAAAGAAAATTAAAAATTACAAAAACAAATTAATAAAAAATTTATTTATCAAACTAAATAATTTTAGACACGTCACATTTGAAAAAAAGAAGAAAGCTTCAAAGAAGCGGACGATTTCTAAAAAATGTTACTTACAATGACGCTTTTATGTATAGGGCTCATGCACGTGAAACACGCAGGAGAGAGAAAACAACAAAAAAATGTCAACATATTTTTTTATTAATTTATTTTTGTAATTTTTATTTTTCTTTAATTTATTATGGTGGGTCAGCCTAAATGAAGTATCCGTACTATATGCCTGGTGCAGCTAATTAATATGAAGTGTATTTGGTTTCACAATCCTTGGTTCAAAACTGCCTAGAGTGATTTCTTTTTTGTTTTAGATTCATGTATAGTCAAGAAAACTATCCACACATATATATATTTTAAATAATTAATTATTGTTATAATTATTAGTGAAAAAATAAAATTTTCTAATGCATTTTTTTATGTCGGCTTTATCCACACAACACAAAAATGATACAGTAATATATTTGTAAATATATCGAAACATTTTATCAGAGTATTGGCATATTACTTACACGGGAAGCGCGAACTTAGTTTGTGTTCTATTGTTTTATCTTCTTCTTTGTTAAGGTAACAAAGATGATTTCGACAATAAGTGTTTGTATATTATTGAGGTGGTTTTTCAGCAAAATCCTTTGTTTGTTCTCTTATTCTTCTCCTTTTCATTTTTGTTCTCACAATCGTTTGTTCGTTCTTGTGCTCCCAGGTTAATTCTCATTTTCTTATCTTTTTTCATGCATTTTATGTATGGTGTTATGGTGTTGTTGAGATGATGTTAGTGATATTCCTTGTTTGAGTTTTTTTGTGTCGCATGCTAAGTTTTCATAAATTCAATGAGGAGATTGGGGTGTTGATTATTGGTTGCTGGTTTATTTTCATGTTTTTGAGTTGGTTTAAGTGCATATTTTGGTACTTGGTGCTAGTTTAGTGTGGGTTTGAGGTTTCGATGCTTATTTAGTTTAGTTGATTTATAGACTCAAACAAACCTCTTGTTTAGCCTCTATTATATTTAGTATATTTATTTTCAAAAAATTAAAGAAATTGAAAAATATTACTTAGTGAATGACAGGTGTATTAAAATATACTAATTGTTCGACAATTTTAAAATAATTAAATTATTAGACAGTGTTATAAATTTAAATTACAAATTTGACTTCAATTAATTTAGTAATAATTAAATAAATATTTTACTTATTACTTATTTAATTTTTGTTGCTTGATATGTTTAATTACAATTATATATTATATTGTTGATTTTATATACTTAGTTATCTCAAAGTATTTTATTATAATTATTAGAATATTGATTAATTATATTGTGAGTCAACCTTGGTTTCTCATTTGAGACTAAATACAATGGTTACATAATTAATGTATAATCATTGTATTGAATA